TATTTATTAATTTGGTTTTTATATTCCAAGGAACTTCCTGTGCCCATGTGAACAGTTTATTATGCCTCAGAATGACACTACTGGTTTTATTTTGTGTTTCTCATCTCCCTTCCCTTCATTTATGTTTTCAGGTGGAACCCTACTTAGAAGTCCAAATCAAACTGTGGTCACAGAATTCATCCTCCTGGGATTTGGTAACCTTCATGTTCTAAGGATCCCCATTTTTATGATATTTCTTACAATCTATATCATTACAATAGTGGGAAATCTCATGATCATCATAACGGTGAGGATCGATCACAGCCTTCATAATCCCATGTACTTCTTCCTAGGAAACCTCTCCTTCCTGGAATTATGGTATACCACTAGTGTGGTCCCAAAGATGCTGAAAACCTTTCTGAATGGTCATGAGACTATTTCATTCTCAGCATGCCTTCTCCAATTTTATGTCTTTGGCTCTCTAGCAGTCGCTGAATGTTTCCTCCTAGCAGCTATGTCTTATGATCGCTACATAGCCATATGCTGCCCACTGCATTACAGCAGAAGGATGAACTTCAAGATGTGCCTGTTATTTGTGGTAGGGTCATGGGTTTCTGGGTTTCTCTCCTTGGTAGTCACCATGCCAATGGTTTCCATGTTGGCCTTCTGTGAGTCTAATGAGATTGATCATTTCTTCTGCGATTTGGCTCCTATTGTTAAACTTGCCTGTGGAGACACACAAAAAGTTAGGATCCCTGCTTTCATTATTGCTTCCTTGGTGTCCTTTTCTCCATTCCTTCTAACTGTTCTGTCCTATTATAAAATTATTTCCACGATTCTGAAGATCCCATCAGCCAAAGGAAAACAGAAAGCTTTTGCCACCTGCTCCTCACATCTGACTGTGGTTACGGTATTTTATGGAACACTAATGGTGGTATATGCTGGACCTACAACGACTCATTGGCCAAACCTAAGGAAAGTTTTTTCTGTGCTTTATATAGTAGGGACACCAATGCTCAATCCTATTATATATAGCCTGAGGAACAAAGAAGTCCAAAATGCATTGAGAAAACTGTTTAACAGAAATGCTGCATTGATGCACAGTTAGTGAATGAAGAGAACCTCTTTAGCCCCATAACATTTTATGTTTAAAAGATCATGCTACCACACATGTTGGATACTGAACTATTTGAAAGAAAATAATACTGGATTTTTGCAAGAAGAGTTCTTTCATATGCAGTAGAACTATTTTTTTCTGTAATTACAAAATGACACAAACGGAGGGTATTTTAATTCAGGGATGGAAATCCCACCTTGAATTTATATGGAAAAGTGATGTTTATATTTTATATAGAACACAAATATATTGCTGGGTTTCTTATAATTCATTTTGCAATGTTGTCAATGCAAGTATAGCCATGACAAATTATATGGTACCCAAAGGATTATGACTGGGATCTAATGAGCTTTTTGTCCAATACCACAAGATATGATCCTTATTACAGCCCCTACCTCACATGGCTTTTGCCCATGCTGGTACCATGATCCCCAGAAAAGTGTCATAAGATGGAAATCAATTGGATTCAACTCTACATTTCCTTTATTGGAGTTCCCGGCCTCCCAGCAATGCCGGTAAGGTCCGAGGGCTGTTTTGCCGCCCCGGAGGAGCCAGGTCAGCAACAGAAGCATGACACACGGCGTCATAACATGGGCATGGTGGGTGGAGCCAGATCAGCTAAACTACCAGGCTCTGCTCCCGCCCAAGGACAGTCCCTGGGTCATGCTCCCCCACCCTCCCACCATGTCTTAGTGCAGGCTTTTGCTGGTTGTTTATTGGGGCCAGGTAGGAATTTTTCACATCTACCTGGAATTGGCAGATTGGGTGGAGGTGTTTTCACCTACATTGCACTGAGAGCAGCGGGATGAAGTGATGGATGTGGTGGTCAGCAGTTAATTAGGTTGGTCAGATGGCAGGTTGGTGCGGGCAAGAAACTGGAACCAGTGAGCACCTTATGGCATTTTCCCCATTGGGGAACAGGGGGTCATCAGGAACTGCCTTCAGATTTCTAGGTCCAGGGTGGGGAATGGTGATCACCTTCTCTGGGAACCTCTTAGGGTATGCTCCTCCCTGCAAGTTGTCAGGCTTCAAGGTTAGATGCTCCAAGGTGGTGACCAGTTTGCTGGGCTGCCGGTTGCGAACCAGACCGATGGCTCAAGACCGGAGCTGGGTGACCCACCCGAGGAAAGGCCAAGGAGGTTGGTCAGGGGAATGACACCTGCCTTGCCTGTTCTGTGCTCGCTTAGCTGGTCCCTTGCCACAATGTTATGTTAAATACTTAATAAAGTGGCCCTTGTTTAATCCAAACTGTTGTCTGTCTCATTATTTTGACTGGGGGGGGGCAATTAGAGACAGGGGAAAACAGCTTATACATTTTTGTTTGTTCACTGGGTGACATTAGGGCAGTCCCTTTCTATCTCAGCCTAAACTACCAAACTGGGTTTTTTGTTGTAAGGATAGGATGAAGGACAAGAGAACTTTGTTGTAAGCTGCTTTGGGTCCCTGCTGAGGGAAAAGAAGAGGAGGAAAGAAGAACATGACTCATGGCAACCCAATCCATGGTGTGCTCCAGGCAAGAGACAAGCTGAGTTGGTTTGTCATTGCCCTCCTCTGCTAGCAACCCTGGTCTTCTTGGTGGTCTCCCATCTCTTTTTGGTGGTCTCCCATCCAAATATTAACTATGGCCTGCCCTGCTTAATTCCCAAGTATTAACAAGCTCAGGCTAAGCTAAACTATTCAAGCTGCTATTGAGAAAAAAGTGGGGGATTCATAAGGTAAGAAGCAGCTGCTGAAGCAACGTGCGTGTCAAAAACCAAGGGGAAAAAAGGGGGCAGAACTCCATCCAAAGTGTAGGTGCAATCTAAGAGAGTCAAACTACAGGTAAATGACACACATCCAGAAATACATGCATAAATAATATATATATGACCAGGTGTTGCTTTCCTATATGCTTTGCAGTTATTGCAAGTTTGTATAATGGGCCATGGATAGTAGCTGTGCAAATTCACCAAATTATTCTGGTATCAAATGTCCCATTCATCAGGATGTGTGTCACCTCCATCAAAGGTGACACCTCTGCTTAGCATCTACCTGTGAAGTGGGGGAGAAATGGATCATACACATATGGGCTTTATTTTTTTATGGCTGATTCATTTGTAGTATAGCAAAAACATTTTTTTATTCCAACTCTGCAAATTTAAGTGAACTTCAGATATCTTTGATTTAATATTTATTTATTTATTTATCTAATCTATACCCCACCCTCCCCGCAAAGCAGGCTCAGGGCGGCTTCCACTCAAGCATAAATACAGTTAAAACATCATGCATTGGGGAGCAGGGAAAGAAATCAAACACAAGCTTAATTTTAAATATTTTCTTCTTTACTTAAATATTCAGAATTATTATCAGATCTTGTGACATAAGTGCAATAAATAAATAAATAAATAAATAAGTTAAAAACATTCACAGACAATATCCATCAAGGGAAGACCATCTACAATTCACAACTATGTTCAAAACTATATATTATATTCATTGAATTACAAAGAAAGGTTAGTGGTCACAACCCAATGAAGTATATAAACATAGATCCAACAATTTGCTCATAACAATTAAACATAGTTTAAACAAGGAACATATTCAAGACCAACAGTAGGCTCTTCTGTAATACCATACATAAATAGTGTCCATAGACCTCCAAACAGAAAGTAACTGCAACAGAAGACTCCCACTGTGGAAAGAATAACAGCCAAACGCCTCTCCCAAGTATAAATCAAGTGTTTCAATGATCTTCAACAGCGGCTGGTAAGACGGAACTGTGAAACAATCATAAATATACATAGAAAGACAAGATTGACTGCATGATGCATATATCAATTCAAAAACATAGAAAAAATGTGTCTCACCCCAATTTCCAAAATAACATAGGCACAGCTCAAAAGCTTCAATGGAATCCTAGAGTTCTCAACAAGACAACCTGTCATACAGCATTTAACCATATGCAATTCAATAGCAATTCAATAGCAATGTAGTTTCTTAAAGTGGACCCATCCCATTTCACATACTTTCCTATTCTAATCAATTGCAATCTTTCTCAAATAAATCAAGCATCTGATTCATTCCATTTGGTACTAAAGATTTTAATTCAAAAATCAATTTAGACTCTTTTTGCAATAATATTTGATTAGCATTTTGAAAGGTGCATGGTTTACTCTGATGTACAAATGCCACAAAAAACCTCCTCTCTTCAGCACTATGTGTAATTCTGTGTGTAATGTGCTTGTGTGTAATGTGCTGTCATCGGGGCTTGGCTAATGTTATCATGCACCCTAGAACGGTGTTCCAACACACGTGTACAGATAGAACATGTGGACATACCCACATATAAGAGTCCACAGGGACAAATGGACACATATACAATCTTTTTTGTTGAACATATGGCCATACTGCTGCACTTAATTCTTATGTTCTTAGAAGGATCCTCAAAAACCTACCCTTCTATCATGAATTTGCAGGCTGCACATTTCCTGCACCTGTGAAAGCCTTTAATTGTGCTACTGCCCCTGGTTCTTAAAGGGGCAACATCTGTTTTGACCAACAAAGCCTGCTACCCCAAGAGCACTCTCCCACTGAGTAAAATGGGGCTTATGTAAGAACATAAGAAGAACCATGCTGGGTCAACCCAAAAGCTCATCATTCTCTCCAGTGCTCCCTCTAAGCTGTGTAGTCTTGTGAGTAAAAATTCTACTTTGTGAACTACTGGCATTAAAGTTGTGAGAGAGCGATTTGGCTACTGCATAAATTAGTTTGCTCTGAAGCCATCCTTCTTGAGCTAAGACAAAAATGTGTGAGCCAGCCTGCATAAAGAGATTAGCAAGGCTGGGAGCCACCAGGCATCCCATAGCTATCCCAAACTGTTCTTAAAAAAAAAGACTGGTTGAATCTAAAATAGTTCTTTTCAAGAAATAAGTCCAGTAATTCTGACAAGAAATAAGTTGGACGATTCTGCTCTTCTCTCCTCATCAAGATGTCTATTATAATTTCCCTTACTTCATCATGAGGTATACTTGTTATTTATTATTTATTTATTTATTTATTATTTACATTTTTATCCCGCCCTCCCCGGAGGCTCAGGGTGGCTAACAGGCATATAGCTAATAAAACAATAAAAGCAGTACAAAATATTAAAAGTACATCACAATTTATTGCCTATCTAAAAGCAAGACTATCTAAAAACAAGATGGCAGTCCTCATGTCATCAAAGAGGTTCTAGTAGAAACCTTTAGACCTTCCACCATCTGAATAAAGTGGGTAGTATCCTTAATATAAGATTCTATTTTACCCACAAGTGGTTGTAGAAAGTGATCCAGGTATTGGGCCATGGGCTCAAAAATACACAACTCCCGACACATTAGGTCAGGCTGTATGTGAATTGCCAGGCACAAGCTTCATTTTAAATATTTCCTACTTTACTTAAATATTCAAAATTATTATCAGATCTTGTGACATAAGTGCAATAAAATAAATAAGTAAATGCATAAGTTAAAAACAGTGACATAATGCTTAATGCTACAGGTTCATCATTACTGATGAACTGATCAAAAGATAATTCTTTTGATATATTGTTAATTTTGTGCTACATTGTAAACCCTGCATAATTCACAAATGAATATTAAATAAATATGCTAATTTTAAATAACAAAAGGTAAGTGGTCCAGTTCTCTTTTGCCAGTCAACTTGGGAGGGGTTTGTCTTTTAGGGTGTAAGTCATCTTTTATACACTACTGATTTTTATTCCCCTGACTTTGAAAATCTCATGTCAAAGTTAGGGGGAAACCACAGGAAAAATTCCTTACTTCTTGTGTTTGATTATTGATACCTTCCTGAGTAATCTAGAAGGTTTTGATCAGAGTGGATGTCTCCTAATTACTGGGTCACCCAACAATGTTCTGTTCATCACATATCATTTGCTAGGATGGATTGCACTCTAATATAACTGTCAGTATGTTGTGTTGGTTGTATTAATAGGTCATAGTCTAAATAGTTATCACTTGCAGGAACATTGTGTAAATAAATTCATATAATTTTGATCAAAAAATTTCATGAATACTCTGAGATGTCAGTTGAATGGTGCTGGGACTTCTTCAGATCAATGGATCAGGTGCATCTTGGTTCAAAGAAACAGAACAGGATTTCCTTCGGGATGGCATGATTTCTTTGCCTAAACATTAGAACTACTGTGAGAGGGATGTGGGAGTCTCAGGACATGTTTGACTGGAAAGTGCCTTACCAATCAAGGTTCATTTAAAAGAATGAATGACAGTGGCTTATCTCTATTACTTAGAACATATAACTGCCCTCAGTGAGAGACCAGGAGTATTAGCTGGTTTAACAAGCAAATTGCAGGTCCTTGCTAAGGATCCTTGGTTTACCTAGGGTTTTACTATCATTTTGTTTTGTGTCTATGTGCAAATCTAGACTTTTATTCTTAAAATTAGTTCTGGGTAGCCCCTTTAGAGAGACACAACAATGAACAGTTTTATTGCTAGAGTTTTATATACATTTTTGAAAGATGGTGACGAGACAGATAAATGTGATCAAAGAGCCCACTCGCAGGGAGGGTGGGGTATAAGTTCTGGGTAGCCCCTTTAGAGAGACACAACAATGACCGGTTTTATTGCTAGAGTTTTATATACATTTTTGAAAGATGGTGACCAGACAGATAAATGTGATCAAAGAGCCCGCTCGCAGGGAGGGTGGGGTATAAATATAATGAAATAAGTAAATAAATAAATAAATAAATAAATAAGAGTAATATATA